ACTGCGTTAGCGTAGGGGAGTGACATAGGTACTGATGTATAGTACGCGAGTGCGTATCTCAATTTAAAAAACCAAATGCATTTCAAAGATACTGTGTATATAAAATATCAGATATTATATATACTAATATTAAAACTGCAGAAGGAAGATGCAGTTGAACTGTAATACACAATTTTTACGATATATGTGTAGTTCATAGAATGCGTGCAAAGCCAAAAAAAAAAAACAAAAAAACTTCATTTACATAAAGTATTTCATTTGTAATTTGAATGACTAAACTGTATGTGATTGGCTTTTTTAAAACCCAAACCACCAAGTACCAAGTACTGGAACATGAACAGCTAATGTGCAAAGACAAACCTCATCACTGTTTCCTTCCAATAACAATAAGCACGAATGAGATGGTAAAGCTAATGGCTCGGAAACACACCGATGACCGCACTGAGCAACAATGACCACTCCACACTACAATCCCTATAATTCCGCGAAGCCACATTCGGACATTATCCTTTTGTTTATTGTGTTCTTTTGATTGGTTTGCTTGTTCTTTTTTACATTCTTCAATATTACTGAACACAAAGTAAAATATGTAAAAAATGTTTTTTTTTTTATAAGGATTATTCCTTCAGTTTTCTTTACATAAACAAGACTAGAGTCGAAATGCTCTTTAGCCAGCAGGGGTCAGCTGTGAGCACAAGAGCAACGTTCAAAACTGGACAGAACCCTGATGATGAGGGTTTTTATTGGCAAAATTCAAAATTAACACGATTTCCTACATTTAAGTGCCAGCGAATTATTATTATTATTATATGTTAAGTCACAGTCTGTTAAGGCAACTGCAGTTAAACACTTCTGGGGAGTCAAACTAAGAAAACACCTGAGCTTAGCAGACTTGTCAAGAACATAAAACTTTTTTTTTTTTTTTCTGAAAGTTTGCTACAGGGAGTCTCTCATGTCCCTGACTGGCATAACATAAGATTTTTTTTTAAATGCTTTCAGGGGCATGACATCAGGACAGAGTAAAGGTCTGACATTTAGAGTGGTTTTTAGATATACGAACACACATATATGCGTGTATATTTGTAATTAACGATTCCTTACGTTACAGCCGAAATATACTGTGTATATACACACACAAATATATACATATTAGGGATGGCTCGATCGGATCGGATACCTCAGATGCCGCTAACTTGCATACCGTAAACGGGGACACTATGACCTCAGCGATGGCAGCCAGTGGCACGAAAAAAAAGAAGGTATCAGATCGATATCAGATATCGAGCCACCTCTAACATGCATATATATGTGTGTATATATGTACATATGTGTGTATATATATATATATATTCACAAATATATGTATATACACATAAACATACATATATACACATATATATTTATATATGTATATATATAAATATATAAATATATATACATATATATATATATATATATGGCAGAGGGTTTGAAATCAAAATATCTATTTACTGATCATTTAGGGGGCTCTGAATCTTTTAGTGTCATTACATTTTAACGTGAGGGGATCCCGAGGTGTCTGCGAGGGCCAGGGCCTGCAGGTTGTGGCACTGGAGCAGGAAACCCTCAATACCAGCATTTCCTGTAAGGGGATTGCTGTAGAAGAGGTTCTGTTCAGGCGGCAGAATGCAGTCAGAGCCCCAGTCGGAGTCTGAGTCTGAGCTGCCATTACCCGAACCCTCGGTAGCTGTGGGCGGATAGCTCAGCTGTTCCAGCTGCTCCACCAGGTCGCTAAATTGCACAGCCGAGCTGCTCTCAGAGCGCACAGAGTAGGCCGGGAAGTTGACCATGGAGCTGGCCTCCGACTGGATGTCGGAGCCCGGCAGGCGGAGTGAGGAGGAGTCGGTAGGAGCGCCGTAGCTCACCGAAAGGGACTCGGCCACTGAGCCTAGCCCCAGGTTGTCGAGCGAACTGCACTCAGAACGATTGTTGACCAGAGAGCTGGTCTCAGAATTACCGACCGCGGGATCAGGGAAGGGGTTGACGTTCCCATTTAGATCCTTAATGCCCAGGCTAAAGATTCTGTTTTCACGGTGGTCAGATTGCGGCAAGTTATGAAACGGATCCATTTTACCGTCAAGCAAGAACGAGTAGGCCTCGGCACCGCCGCCATAAAAGGATATATTTGTCGGGTCGTCATCTATGAATTCCTCAGTGACATGAAACGGCGAACTGGACGTGGAGAACATAGGATTTGGCTTTGTACGCATCAGCTCCGCCTCAAAGGCCTCTGGGGTAAGAATGCCCCTACGCCTACTACCAACCGCATCCACCAAACCTAGTGTGCCTAGAGGCCTACCTAGCTCACGATCCTCAAAGCTTGTGATGCCGCGGGGCGACTGGAAAGCGCTACTTTCTACACACACAAACATGGGGCTGCAGTGTCCTGCTGCCTGACTGCTCTGGGCACCTGGAAAAGTGTTGTGTGGCGAAGGAGTGGCCTGAATGGGCTCTTCCTTCAGTAGGCCGGGTGCTCCGACGGCTTGAGGAAAGGGCTGAAGCGGCGACAGCAGCAGCTTCTGTTGGTGGCGCTGAGGAGAAGAGCAGACTATGGGAGCGGGTTGAGGATGTGTCGCAGAGAGGACGCTGGGAAAATGCTCTTGTTGGAAGCTCGTGGTGGCTGAAGACGGGGACCGAGGCGTCCTGAGGCTCTCATTGAAGGACAAGCACTAAAAGGATCGTACAGAGTGGAAAAAGGAGAATGTCACAAATGAGAAACTAATAATTACTTTTTTTCTCTCACGGTAATGCATTTTTTTTTTTTTTTTTTTTTTACAGCTGTAAGAACAGTTACAGTTTGAAAGTGAGACAGCTAGGGCCAAATATTTGAATAGCCGTCTCTGCAAGCCACTTTCAAACCACTGCAAACCACTACATCCACATCTGCAAACCACTCAAAACACAGCTGACAACAGAACACATGTACATATTGGAGAAATGTTAAAGGAGCATTTCAACAAATTCAATTAAATGTGAATTATTTCAGTAATATTGAAGGTTTTTTTAAAAAAAAAATTAGGAAAACGTTATTACTGTAAAAATCCTACATTTAAGTCAAACACCTGCAAGTGTTTGCAAAAGACAAACCTTTTAAAAGCATCATTCTAACAGGCGTACATTTACATTTTGTATAATTACTCAAACTGATCAACCCATTGGAGAATTTTTATTTGAGGAATTATGAGGGTTTCAAACCACTCGTTTGCCTCATTAAGTAGCTTTTAAATGTCATTTCAGAAAAGACAAACCTTTTAAAAAGCATATTTCTAACAGACGTACATTTAAATTTTGTATAATTACTCAAACTGATCAAATACGATGTAATACAGCTTACAGCCTGACAAAGATACAATTACTTCATCTGAGGGAGGCATGCCTGAGCACGCCGGAAGAACTGACCTGTTTTTGCATATCTGTTGTTAGAGAATGAGCTGACATCCTTATTGTGCTGTTCCTTCTGTAGAAACAGACACATCAAGTCAGACTTATGACACACTTGTATACGCCGTCACATCCGTGCTACATACAGCGCGCGCACACAAACGCACCTCTGATAAGGCGTTCTTTTCGCTCCGTTTTCCTTCGCGTACTCCAATAGCTGCTTCTGAGTTCTCCCACTAAGAAAAAAGAGCTTGGAATTAGAACATGATACTACAGAGGCAGGCATAAGAAATCAATAAAAACAATACAAACATTTAGAGCTCAAGTTGAGAATCATTCAATAAAGTTAAGCGTAAATCTATTCTTTCCTTAACCTTATTTTAACAGCCAGATCAAAACGTGTAAAATACAAAACATCCAAATATCCAAACAATGCAGACCATATAAAAACTAGGGAACGACCAAATATTCCACCGATGGACAGCAGGGGGCAGAATTTGCGATCTTTGTTTTGATACACTATTATGTTGTAGGCCCACAGTGAAAATAACAGAGAACATAGCAATTGCAATGACTTGATTCTAGTGAGCTTAGCACTGAGTCATAGCCACTACCGTATTTTCCGGACTACCGAGCGCACCTGAATATAAGCCACACCCACTAAGTTTAAACCCCCCGATATCGAGGTACCCAAAACCTAGCGTGTTCTTCTTTGTACTGACTTCCCCTGTCTCTCGTTCTTGCACTTCCTGCTAGAACGCCCCCTGGTGACTGAAGAAAAATCCATAGAAAAGCCACATCGTTGTATAAGTTTATATAAAAAAAGTAGCGGCTTATAGTCCGGAAAATATGGTAATTCAATGGCTTTATCTGTCCCCAAAGGGGGGGCATGACAGAAATTAAGTTGTTGTTTGGTCGGCCCTAGACTTCAGACCGGCTCGGCGTTCAAAGTGCGCTTTGGTACGTTCAGACCTAGCTCAGTATCAGAGCGTTAACGGCAGTTTCGACACCTGTATCTGAAGGAGGAGCCTCTGGTAAAGAGGATTCCTTTGGATTTAGGTTGAGGTTGATCGAACAAACGGAAAAAGGAGTGATATTCCACACAGATTTTCCAAAAGTCTTTACACTCATCCCGACTGGCCATTAAGAATTCCAAAATGTCCTGATGTGGCCCCTGGGAACAAAGATAAAAAAAAAAAAAAAATTGTCTGAGACATCAAAACAAAAAAGAAGCAACTAATGGAGCAACTCCTTTAGAGGTACTTACATGAACTTCTGAGTGGAGCTTGATGAGGAACCTTTTTCTTTTGAAGCTCAGTTTGCGAATTTTGGACCAGTTGAATGTGTTAATTTTTGTGTTGCCCTATAAAAACATTTAAAAAATGTTCAGTAACATTTTAGTCTTAAAAAAAAAAAAACACACAGTTAAGAAGTATAAACACCATGAATCACCTGAAAAACCTGAAGGCCCATATTGGCAACAGCGAGGTTGATCTTGGTGCCTTCACGGTCTGCTGCTGGGTGGAAACGGACACCATACAGTTCCAGTTTACGAGCAATCTCCAGAATTTGAAAATCAGATTCAGCTGGAGTCTGACCCCTGCAACAGACGACATAAATGTTTATATACGTTTATATGTGTATATCATTCACGTTAAACAGAATTCCCGTCATGCTGCTCTTTTCTTAAGGTCTAAAAACAAACAAAAAAAAAACAGTATTTCTACAAATACAAGATGGCACATCATTCAACATACTGATGGATCTTAAATAAATGGTCACAAACAATAAAATAATAATTTATAAGAGGCATGGAGTTTATCAGGTTTTTACGATTACGATTCTTATAGATATTACATAATTATGCTAATATCGTCATCGACCAATGAGACCTAGAAATGTTTGTAGATGTCGGCACTATGGTCTTAGGTATACATTTGGAGCTAAAGATTATGCAATTTTCATTTTCTCAGTCTAGACTGAAATAACCCTCTGTGAAGGAGATAAAAATAAAACTTATAAAAATAAATAAATCATTTTCCTGTTTAGCGTCAACTTCCTGCAGTGCTGTGCACCCTATATATAATAATGTCTTCAAGTTCATTGCATATTTATCAAACGGTAACCTCAAGAAATATCAGTGTGGTATTCGGTATGAGTGAGTACCACACATTAAAATATTTATCGTATCAGTTTGTAAAATCAGTATCTGGACAAAACCAGTAAAGGGTGAACGAACTTCTCATGTCATCTAAACATTTAAGTCACTACAACCAAACAGCATAGTAGGTTACATCCACATCAGGTCTATCCAATAACGAGGATATTTTAAATTTCCTAATATGCTAAGTAGCCAAATCTCCTTAAATCCCACTGCTGTCCTACTGGCCTTACAGCCAATAGAGCAGCCAGAGCCAGGGATTAGGCTAGGGAATACTCTATCCAGACAGTGAAATAAATGGATTTAAAAGCCCGCTTAAGCCGGTGGTTGGAGACTGTTTATGTTAGCATTGTGCATACACTTGCGCACACATAAACCCAAAAACATCCCTAATATACTGTATGTATGTATATATGTATATATATATATA